ATTCAACGCTGACGGCACTGATGATGCATAAAGCACAGAAAGGTTGTCACCTGCCTGGTGACTGGTGAGCATATTTGATAAAGATAAGATGCTATGATGAATAGCAGCTTGTAACCAGAGGCTCCAGGGTACCTGTCTCTGAAAGAGGAAGGAAGATCGCCTTTGACTGAATCACACAGACTTGGACCGACCAACGGGATTCCCAAGCAAGTCACATGCCCAATTCATAAGAAACAAAAAGCATTCCAGTTTTCTGGGGAAGATGTGTTCTTATCTTACCTCCCCTGAATTAGAACCCCAGCCACTAAAAATTGTCAGTGATTTGACAAATACAGAACACTGCATGCCAAGTTTTGTGCTAAATTTGGAGGCAGTAATAATGAAGACAATGTGGTCCTTGTCCTCGTGGTCCTGGGAGCCATAGAGATCCATAGGTGACAAATCCTAAGTAGACCACTGTGGGAGAACAGTGTCATGGCCATCTCCCATCCATAAGTGGATTTGCTTCAGGTAGAACAAGGAAAGAATCTCCTATGGATTTGATTCACAGTCACAGCTAGCAAAAGCATTGGTGTGGACCTTACCTAGGCCCCTGCTGGAAACAGATGGGACAGAGACAGTCCAGCTGAGCAGGTAGGCCTTTGACATCACTGACAAAGTGCAGAGCTTTCCCCAAGCACCGCCCACTGCACTCCACACAGTGATGGACAGAGTATTGAGCTAATTAAAGACTCCCATAGCCAACCCTCTGTCACTACAGAATTTTACACTTTACTTCCCTGCTTCATTTAGGAGATAGGGATCAGTCATGATGCCTCTGTTTTCCTTCAGGGCTTTGGAGGATCTGAGGTGGGTGTTTGTGAGTAGTTTATCCCAGGGAGTGTTTGTGAGTAGTTTATACTAGTTAGACAAAGCTGCCCAGATCAGGGCTGATACTACACCTGTTGTCCTCCACTGACCAGCCAAAGGACAGAGAACAAAGGTGGGTGGGCTTCCCTGGGTCTGTTCAGATAAGAACCTACAATGAAGCTTCTCCCCAGCATTCCCACTGAATCTACACCCTAACTAGGACATTTCCTTCCTTCCTTCCTTCCTTCCTTCCTTCCTTCCTTCCTTCCTCTCTCTCTCTCTCTCTCTCTCCCTCTTTCTTCCTCTCTCTCTTTTTGTCCGAGACAGGGTTTCTCTGTGTAACTGCCCTAGCTGTCTTGGAACTCACTCTGTAGACTAGGCTGGCCTCAAACGCACAGAGATCCACCTGCTTCTGCTTCCCAAGTTCTGAGATTAAAGGCATGTGGCACCACCGCCTGGCAGAATATTCACTTCTTAAAACAGTGTGTATTCAATAGCATACATGACACAGTTAGTGTTCCATGATGAGAGAGAGGAATAAGACACACTCTTTATGTAGCCAGCTGGGGTTGTTTTCTCATTGAAGTACTGCCTCAGTACAGGCTTTTGAAGCCTCACTTCTCCCTCTGGGGCCTGAGAAAGTAGTTCCGTGGTGGGATACTTGCCTAGCATGCAAAAGTCCTGGGTTCCACACCTTGCACCTGAAGTGTATGTGAAATACAGTAACCTGCCATTTGTTCTGTGGTCTCCTCTGTGAGACTGCTGGCAGGGACTCCATAGCCTTCTCTCTGGGGACTCATCATCATGGTGGGAAGTACAGGCCACCAAACAGTGTTCAGCAGCATTCTCGGGTTCCTTCTCTCCCAGAGTCCTCACTGCAGGGGAATGGAAGAGAGTGGAGTTTAAGCTCTGTTGTCTGTTGAAGGCTGGTCCTTACCACCCATCATACTTAGAATGCAAATGTCATAGAACTCCATCTTTGACACCTGAGTATGGCAATGTGCCTGTCTGTCCTGTTCCCCCCTGGTACAACAACCTAACTAAAGGTCAGCTCAATAAATCTTTACCAACACCAAACAACCCTTCCATGTTGGCATTAAGACTCCCAATTTACAGATGAGACTGAGTCCCACACTGTTTGTTTAAGAATAGTGGACAAGCCAGGTGGTGGCAGCACACACCTTTAAAGCCAGCACTTGGGAGCCAGAGATAAGCAGGTCTCTGTGAGTTCAAGGCCAGCCTGTTCTACATAGCAAGTTCCATGACAGTCGGGGCTACATAGAGAGATACTGTCTGGGGTGGGGAGACGAAGAGAGGGAGAGAGGGAAAAAAGGAGGAAGAGTTGTCTAAACACTATATGCTCTTTTACATACATGCAAAGTAGGGCCTATGTCTTTTTATTTCTGTGTCCACAGAACCACACAGAGATCAGCCACGGTTTCCTAAGTCGAAGGGAAAGCTTCCTATAAGCCCAGCACTGAGTAATCACAATCAATAGCTGGAAATATTCTTAGCCTCTTTTCTGTCTGCCAAAAAACTGATTCGCCTACTTCACCTAAGCCAGGCAGATTAGTGAACGATCTCTTTCACGCCCCCTGCTGGTGCCGTGTTACTGCTGTCATAGTTAACTGATCACCCTGAGTAAAAAGGTTTGCATCCTCACAGAGGAGTCTCTTAGCTGGAAGGCTCAATAGCTTTTAATTTATAACGTCCTTCCATGTGTCACCCATCCACAAAAGCCTCAGAGGCTGGAAGCTGGCAGATGGAAGATCAGTTGCTTTGCACAAACCGGATCATCCACCAGTAGTCCTTCAACAAGGCTGCCTGGTAATTTGCCTGAAACTTAAAAAAAAAAAAAAAAAAAAGCTGGGAGGGAGCTGTCCCTCTTAACTCCCAGGACCAACAGATTGGTGTAGCTTCTCTCTTCTGTGGACAGTTAATACAGAGACCCCCGGCTGGTTAGAGTTCTGAGCATGAATAACTGTGGAGTAGTCTACCCTAAATGAAAAGTCTGTATCACACACAGCCTCTCCCCCACAAGGGACAGAAACAGAACAGGAACAGAAAGATGATCAGAGCTGTTGAAGGAGATGGCTGTCAAAAAGAGTCTTCTGGGCACACGGAGTCTCTACATTCACGACTCCACAGAATCAGTGGTTGCCTGCATGAGATCGAGCCAGTCAAAAAGCCAACAGATAGGAGAGGAACCGGACACCCACCCAGCTGAGGAGCTTTGGCAATTGAAGGCTGCTGAAGTAGGGAGAGTCGGTGTTCCTTAGGAAAAATGGCTCCTGGTGGGCTGCCTGTGCCCCAGTGGACGGCCCTGCATAGACCCATGCACGTGGACAGCACTGGTTGGACTCAGTCAGCTATAAAACAGGACATGAAGTTGAGATGTGTGTGTGTGTGTTAAATGCCAACCAGGCATAATGGCACATGCCAGTGACCCTAGCCATTCAGAAGACAGAGGCTAGAAAAGCCCTAGTTCAAAGTCTGCCTGAGCATTTTGATAAGGCCTTTTATCAAATTTTTAAATAAATCAGTTTACAACGGGTTGTAGGCCAGTGTGCTGCCTAATGTGCAAAGCTGTGGGTACAGTCCCCAGTACACTCTTCCCTGCTCTAAACAACTGCACACTGCTTCACACCAATTCAGACAGAAGCTCTCATCATGAGCTCCAGGCATTGACTGCTCTTTCTGTTTTTAAGCTGCTGCAGTCGAGGCGTGGGGGCCACTGAATTAAAGGAGCCCAGGCATTTTCAGACTAGTAGAGGGTACTGCATAAGCCGGAGTTCCCACAGGGTTCCAGAATTAACATTGTAAGGATGCCTACAGCTGATGTCATGAAAAACCCACGTGTAAATGGGCAGTTAGTGTGCAAAAGGGAACCCCAGGAAGGAAAGAGCATCTTCCCAGAGGGCTCCTGCACCTCTCTATATGGAAACACACAAAAATAGAGAATTCACACGAAAGAGGGGTAGATAACTAGGAGATGGTGTGAAAGCCCCACCCGAGCTTTTCTTTCCAGTGAGTCTTCCGCCCTAGTTGGAAGGAAAGAACTTTGCATGGTAGAGTAGTGGAGGTCAGGTGCCCTGACTGAAGGAAGACTGCTGACCACAGGGGAGGCAGTTAGAATGTCACATCTTAGTCTGAATAGAGATTAAGCACTGCACCAGCTAGGCACTTGGTATATGTAACCGTACTCATCTCTGTGATAGCAAGTGGAACTAGGTGTTATCCTTTTTTCATTTTATACTAAAGGATCTTAGTACCAATCGGTGCTAAGCAGAGAGCCTGCAACCACATCAAACAGACCGGTTAACACCTGACCCTCATTTCACCAAAGTGTGGGCCTTTTCACAAGCTGCATCTCATGAACTGGGCTTGCTTTGACTGGGGAGTGGTGATATGGGGCGTGGTGGGGAGGGGAACACCACAGAGAACAGCCTCTTGAGAATGGATAACTTTCCAGGAAGCCTACAGTGGCCTCCTTCGGATGAACCAGGTGTTCTGGGGCAGGGCACGTCACATGTACTGCCACTCCCTCCTCTGACCAGCCATGGAGCCCTAGCAATCATTTGGTGGCCTTGAATCTTCCTTCGATCCCCTTGGGTAGCACAAACACCAGCTGTTTGTCCATCCGCTATGGGCCACAAAGGTGGGACTGGGACCAGATAGACAGTGTGGCTCTACTGTTTTTTTTCTTCAACTAGGGAAGCTCTGCTTAGGGCCAAACAGGGGTGGAAGGGGACCTATGGAAGGAAACCACTGGGTAGGTTCACCACAGTGCCCAGTTTGATTGCTCTCATGTCTTTTGTTTCTGCCAGAAATTTGTGGGGGAAATCATTGCTATGGTATTGATACATTGAATGGGGGGTGTGGGACTGTACATGGAGAAAAGGCAACAGAAAGGAATGGAGAAAGGTAGCCACAGCCTGCCCAGTGGCCATCTTAGACAGAAAGTAATCCTATGCCCTTTGGTGTTGAAGAGGGTGTCTACGACCATGGTCATCCATAGCAGCACAGGGACAGGGTGGGCTCCTGATGTCATTGCCCCAACTGGTACTTGCTTTTGACTCAGTGGAGTCTATCATTTTCTCTTAGCTGTAAAGGTTTAAGCAATTTTCTGTTCTTTTGTGTGTGTTTTTCAGATCTTAAATCCAAATTTCATCCAAGAAGGTGAGTTTTTAAAGGGGATAGAATTGAGAATGTGGGGATTGGCTACATAAATTATATCTAGCTTTAAGATTGGGGCTTTTAAGCAATGATGATATGCCTCTGTATTTATAGACAAGGAGACAGAATTAAGATAAACTATTAAGTGAAAGGAGGCTCCACTTGACTAAATAAAGGAAAATATGTCTGTATAAACCCCAAAGACTGTATAGTAAGATGTTCCCAAATGCCACCTCTTCATTATGCCACCATGGAGCGTTTCCCTGTTTTGTTCTGTTTCTAATTTTGCTGTAAAATAGAGGGGCACAAAGGTGGGCATGGTGGTACATGTCTCGGAGGCAGAGGCAGGTGGATGTCTCTGAGTTTTCAGCCAGCCTCTTCTACCCAGTGAAGAGACATAAAGAGAAGTACACCCTGATCAAACAATGGTAGGCTGAGGGCCATTTGAATCATGATGTCCATCTCTGGGGGTGAGAATACTATGTCTAAGATGACTGTTTTAAGTTTGTGGTGGGTAATGTGAATGTGTATCAATTCCATTGCAGTGGCTCCAGAATTCCTTGTGCCCTTAGTAGATGTGACCTGCTTGCTTGGAGACACAGTGATACTGCAATGCAGAGTCTGTGGGCGGCCAAAGCCCATCATCACCTGGAAGGGTCCAGACCAGAACATCCTAGACACTGACAACAGTTCAGCCACATACACCATCTCCTCCTGGTAAGTGGATTACCCAGTGTTTGAGCCCAGAGCTCCCAGAGGCTGGATTCTGGGTGAAATTATCTCTGGATTACTAGTCACCTCCAAAGTGCTGTCCTAGTGTTTATTTCAGGTTGGCCTTGATTAGGAGAGAGACTGAGTTAAAAGCTCCAGTGTGGGTGCTCAGCCTCTTCCACACTGGAGCACCCTGTGTTCAAGTCTTAGGCACAGCCTCAACTGTCCACTCTACAGCTGGTCCCTTAGCCTGAGCTTCTGGTGGGTGCCAGCATGCTTTGTGTATGTTGCCCAGTACCAGATGGACATATCGAGGCTAACAGGAACCATCTAGAAACATTCTGTGCTGGACCTACAATAAACAAAGTATTATCCTTGAAATCACAGGCCAAGCCTGAACCATAGATATAAAATGCTTCTGTGGCTTCTGCCTTATAGCCACCCTTTTAGATGATCGATCTGCCCAAGGGTTCCCAGGAAGATCTGTCAGAAGTACTGAAAGCTAGCTAACACCCTGGGATGCTTCGTGCCCTTCAGGATGCTGAGAGATAGTGATATGATAAATTGCTTACCTGAGAACTATTTTATGGGGGGGCATTCTAAAATGTGAGGTGCTTCCACACTAGAACTCTGGTTGACTGCCTCCCAAACATTCTGCTAACATGTGCCCCCACACACCCCCACCCAGGAATTCTGAGCATCATTGTGCTTTGCTGCTTACAGCGGACAAGCAATACCAAACTCTAATGGCTCACCTGTCACTTAGAGATATGCCTAGAATGGAGCACATTTCATTGATTAAATTGTTTGTGTGTGTGTGTGTGTGTGTGTGTGTGTGTGTGTGTGTGTGTGTATGTGTGTGTGTGTGTGTGTGTGGTGGGGTGGGGTGCCTTCTTTATTATTTCCAGAAGAGATGCCTGGTCAGGCCATAAAAACCTCATGGGCCTGAGCAGTTCAGTGTGAAAGTCATTGCTGGGTGGAGAACATGTCACACCCCCAGTGATGTGGTCTTAATTACCTTTCTATAGCTGTGAAGAGATGCCATGACCAAGGAAACTTACATGAGAAAGCATTCATTGGAGCTCATGAAAGCTCAATCTGGAAGCTCTACTGCCTTCCAGAGGGTCGTAGAATCCATTGCCAACCAATAGGCTATAGATTTTATTTGCCTAGTTCATATAACATTCCACCCCTATTCTATTCCTTATTACACAATTTGGGCAGTTGGAATAGCCAGAAAAAAATGTCCCCACAAAAGGGAATGGATACAGGGTACAAAGGTAGGTGAGCTGGAGGCATTCACTCTCACCTCTGCACACCGTGCACCACACAGTGTCATTTTACCCATCCCTCAACTGTCCCCTCACTGGAGTCTGAAGGAGATCCATTTAATGTCCTAGTGATTCTGGGGAAATCACCCTCAAGATCTGCAACCTGATGCCCCAAGACAGTGGGATCTATACCTGCATAGCAACAAATGACCACGGATCTGCATCCACGTCGGCTACAGTTAAGGTGCAAGGTATGCTTTGTGTGCTCTGTCTTTTTCTCTCATGCTATTTTAACTGTAGCAAAACACAACAATAAAACTTAGCACTGTAACCAATTTAAGTAGAGAGTTCAATGGTATTGAGGACATGCCCATTGCTTTGTGGCCATCACCGCTACCCTTCCATATTGCTCCTGTTAAACAGTGACCCCAAATTTCTCCCTCCCCACTGACCTGACTGCCCCATTCTGCCTTCCCTATTCCTGCCTTGAAGAATTTACATTGGTCATTTTAAGTGAACATGACCAGGGCACCCTGAGACTCAGGGAAGAAAGGATCCCTCATCAAATTCTAAAGCAGAACCCAGGCTGATGGGAAGAGAAACATGCCTGCTACAAGGGCTTACCCAGTCCTCCAGCGTGGTAGCAGGGCCCATCTCCTAGGCCTCCCTTGGACCTGGAGAAAGGTATGCTACCCCGACAAGGTTATGTGCCACACTTGAGGCACGTTTGGCATGTTTCCAGTGCTCTGGGCTGCTATGGTTCTGAGAAGCAGCCCCGCCCTGCTGTCTGTCTCCACAGGTGTTCCCGCAGCCCCCAACAGGCCCATTGCTCAGGAGAGGAGCTGCACCTCTGTCATCCTCCGCTGGCTGCCCCCAGCCAGCACCGGGAACTGCACTATTTCGGGGTACACGGTGGAGTACCGCGAGGAAGGTGTGTTGCTCTTCTTTTCCATATTTGCTTCAGTAGGTCTTCAGGGCCGTAAACCCGAGACTTCAGATATCCTGCTCGCTGGCCTCAGCCTGGCTCGCGCACCCTGGGAGTTTAGCACAGAAGCCTGGGACTAGGCTGCTGCTGCCTGCGGTTCCAAACGGAAACCTCCCTGGGTCCATCCTGGCCTAGCCGCTAGGTGGCAATGTGTCTTCATTGCACTGTCCTGCTTACTCTACTCAAAACACACAGATAGGCAATTGAGCCCATTTTTACAGAGGAGGAGGCTAAAAAGCAAAGAAAACCAAGGCTGTAGTTAGTAAGGGGCAAGATCCCACTAGACCCCATTCTGTAGCTGGCTAGTCTGTGGTTTCTCCCAGAACAGAAACCATGGTAGGATGAGTTCTACCCCTCCACCACCAGATAAAATCTGTAGCATGTATGCATACAAGTAACTTTAATTGTGAGGAAAGAAGGTAGAAGGGAAGGAAGGAAGGAAGGAAGGAAGGAAGGAAGGAAGGAAGGAAGGAAGGAAGGAAGGAAGGAAGGAAGGAAGTTAGTTTAAGCCAGGTGTGGTGGCGCACACCTTTGATCCTAACTAGCACTTGGAAGGTATTGACAGGCGGTTCTCCATGTGTTCGAAGCCTAGTGTACAGAGTGACCTAGATCACTAGGGCTACATAGTAAGACCTTGTCTCAGTAATAAAATAATAATAATAATAATAATAATAATAATACGATTTAAAAGGCACTTCCAGGCAATTGTACTTGTCATAACGCAGCTCCGAACCACATTCTGAATGGCCCAGTTGAACTGAAAGCACCTGTTTGCCCACCCCACCAAGATCGCTTGTTTTACTTTGCTTTCCATTACCTATCATTATCTCCAGTCTTCTTTTTTTTATTAAGCAGGTGCTTAATAAATAAATGAATAAATAGTTATGAAACTCTTTATTTCAGCCTTTTGCTTAAGCTGTCTGCAGCAGGGTGCTCAGGGCCAGCACAGGTGTGACTGCTGAGCCGGGGACCTGCTTCACTATTTCCGAGTTCCACTGAAACTAAGTTCTCGAAGACAAACTGAGGCTCCATTTCTTCCTCTGTCAAGTGCTCCCTCCTCCCTTGGGTTTCTGTGAACTTTAACTGGAGTTAAGGGGAGAATCGTGCCATGCCCTGGAGTGTTTTCACACACATATATGCTCCCGTCCGTGTAAATTTTTTTTTTTTTGGTTTCAATTTCCAGAGGCATGTTTTTCTCTCATTTTGTTATTTCCTTGTATTTTCTTCCAGCCTGATCACGCTGCCACATATTCCCTTGTAAAGTCATGCTAGCTTTTCAACTAGCACATTTGAGAAGCACCAGAGTCCATAGGTCAATTTCTTGCACAGCCTTCATGTAATGTCATTTAGGAAACTGGGCCTAAATCCCCCACTGCAGACTTTTGGAGCCTGACAGCGACCACACTGTCCTTCGAACCGATTCATATCTTTGTTTGCTAAAGGCCTTGGAAACAATGTCGCTTTAACTCTCTCTCCCTCTCCTTGGAACTGCCTGATAGGTTCCCAGGTCTGGCAGCAGTCTGTAGCCTCGACCTTGGACACTTACCTCGTCATTGAAGACCTTAGTCCCGGATGCCCTTATCAGTTCCGCGTCAGTGCCAGCAATCCTTGGGGAATCAGCCTTCCCAGTGAAGCTTCAGAATTTGTGCGCCTTCCGGAGTATGGTGAGTCCCAACAAGCCCAGAACAGCTAGCCAGCAGAAACAAGGCAGTGGACCACTGTTTAAAAATCATTGGTGTCTCTGACCCCCATTGGGAGGTATCTGGGGCTGCATGATGGCTTCCATCAGGCCACCTTTGAGAGACCAGATGGAGTGTCTCCAGGAGGTATATTGGGGCCATTGCTGACTTTGGGCTTTCTGGGGTTCCTCAGGGGAACCTCAAGGCACAAGCAGGAGACCTGTGTCCCAGGGTGCTCTCTGGCTTTGGCCCTTGTCTGAGATCTGTTTTGGAATTCAACGTCTGTTTTCCTCTGGGTGCCTCTGGCAGGCATCTACTGAACACAGGACTGCTGTGTGTTCCACAACATAGAGAAAAGCAACCTGGATGAAGGACTTCACTACCGCATGCAACACTGATACTAATCCCATCCTTCTAGAATTTAGTTTCCAACATGGATCTATTTTATCCACATAAAACAGAAATTGGCTAAGACATACACATAACTAGAAATGAGTGTTTTACCAGGGCAGTTCTTACTTTGCCCACCTTGCTCTCTGACCCACCTTGCCTGCCCATCTTGGTCGCACAGACTGAAGAAATATCCCATGGGTGACACTTTAGGCAGTGCACAGAAGTGGTGTGTGTATGCTGAGGACAAGAGAGGAAAGTGTCACCATACTTAAAAAACAGCAGACCTGTGTCTCTGTGGGTTAAAGGAAGTCTGGAGTCCCCATAGGGCCTTGGCCAAGAATGCCCTGCAGTCCCAGGTCATGGTCAGCCAAGTCCATTGCTTGCCCGTGATCTTGACTTGTTCTCACAGGGGTGTGACTCTCTGGAAAATCGTGGCCCTGGATCCACATGTCCTCAGAATTCATTGTGGACATGTGACCAGCTCATGCTCCAGGAGAGCTGAGGTGACTGACCAGTGTGAGTCTGAAGAACTGAGTTGCTGATACAGTTCCCTTCTTTCTAAGCCACCAACTCAATGTGGCTTGGATGGCCACCATTTTTGCTTTGTTACTTCTAAGGTCTGATCCCCAGCAGACAATACAAATGCCTATGGGTGTACGTGTGGTGTGTGTGTGTGTGTTGTGTGTCTGTGTGTGTGTGTGTCTGTGTGTCTGTGTGTGTGTGTGTCTGTGTGTCTGTGTGTGTGTGGTCTGTGTGTGAAGACAGCTGACACATCACACAGGGTCAAGCTAAATCACCTAATCACCCACAAGAACCAATTGTGGATGAAGTTCAATCATCTAATATACAGGGTAAACTTGCCCAAGGCTGAGGACATGGTGCCAGGCAGAGAAATCTCTAGCGTGCTTTGCTCGTAGTGTTCCCTTGTTTCTTCTGTGATCTTCGGTTTGTTCATTCTCTCTGCATCCTCCCATGATCCTCATTTTCACTGTCCTTTTGTCCTTCAAAGTCTTCTTCTTTCCTCTCTACATTTCTGATCCGGTCCCTTGTTCTCCCTTTCTTTGAGGAGATGGCAGAGAGTGTCTGTCTGACCCTACTGTATCAGCTCCCCTCAGACATTTTAAAAATAACATTCCAGAGAACAACCACAGCCTTCCCTACTGGGAGGCCTCCATATTTAGTTGGGAGAATTCCCCATGGGTTTTCATGCTGGATTGTCTTTGTGAAGCTTTTCTTCCTTTTTATGTGACATTCCTAATGTCACTTGTGCATTCTCCCTCTCCCAAAGATGCAGCCGCTGATGGTGCCACCATTTCTTGGAAGGAAAATTTTGATTCTGCTTACACCGAACTGAACGAGATTGGCAGGTAAGGGCAAGCCACCTCACAACAGGAAAATGATCAACTGGGTTTTGTTGGTCTTTCTTTCCTTTGTTTTTTTCTGTTTTTTGTTTGTTTGTTTGTTTGTTTGTTTTTCAAGACAGGCTGGCCTCGAACTAGCTCTGTAGACCAGGCTGGCCTTGTACTCACAGAGATTTGCCTGCCTCTGCCTCCTGAGTGCTGGGATTAAAGTTATGCAGCACCACTGCCCCAGCTGGTGTTTCTCTCTATCTTGTGTAGATGCATTCTCTGTGTACTTGGAAAACAGCTAGTGTATTCCTGTGAATTTTCTACTATTCTTTTTCTTTACCTGAGTTGGAAGCTGGCCTCATCAACACTTAGCCTTTCATTTTCTAATATAAAAAATTTTTATTTAATTTTTTATTTTAATTAGAAAGAAAATTATATTACATGTCAAACTTTCTAATATAAAATTTTTAAGCCTCAAATTTTTCCTAAAAGTGTAATTTTAGCTACATGTCCCAAATTTTGATGTATGATATTTTCATTATCATTGTTTCTAGGTATTTTTTTCAACTATGGTTTATTTTTTGAGCCAGTTGTAATGGGTTACAAATTACATAAAGTGCTTTAATATGCATGAGATGTTAAATTATATTTTGTTACTCACTTCTAATTTCATTGCACTGTGATTAAAATCCTTGCTCAGACTTTCTCTGTGGGTAAAACATAGCAAAGTTTTGTAAAAAGTTTTATGTATCTGGGCTTAGTGGGTAAGAGCACTAGCTGCTCTTCCAGAGGACATGGATTTAATTCCTAGCAACTACATGGCAGCTCATACCATCTGTAACCCTAGTCCCAAGGGTTCTGACAGTCTTCTGACCTCCAGGAGCATTGCACACACATGGTACACAGACATACATGTAAGCAAAAATAGCCATACACATAAAATAATAATAAAGGGGAATTTTAAGTCTCGTGTATTCATCTTACTTTCTTTTTTAAAAATAATTTTATTTATGTGTGTGACTATTTGTGTGTGTGTGTGTGTGTGTGTGTGTGTGTGTGTGTGTGTTTGTGTGTGTGTGTGTCACATGTATGCCTGGTCCCTGCAGAGGCCAGAAGAGGGTGTTGGATCTCCTGGAATTGGAGGGAGGGATAGTTGTGAGCCACCATGTGGGTGCTGGGAATTGAACACTGGTCTTCTACAAGAGCAATGGTGCTCTTAACCATTGAACCATCTCTCCAGCTCCATCACTATGAATAGAAGTATATTTTGCTTAGAAAAGAAAATAAATCCACATATAATGCTCAAATTGGCAGAACAATATCTTGACTTAAAAAATGATATTAGTGGGGGCTGGAGAGATGGCTCAGAGGTTAAGAGCATTGACTACTCTTCCAGAGGTCCTGAGTTCAATTCCAAGCAACCACGCATGACTCATAACCATCTATAGTGCAATCTGATGCCCTCTTCTAGTGTGCAAGCAAACATGCAGACAGAACACTTTATACTTAATAAATCAATAAACCCTTTTTTTTTTAAATGACATTAGTTTACATTTGGCATCTCAAAGAGCCCCTAGGATACTAAGGAAAGAGTGATGGCTTTATTTAAAAAATAATAATATTATAATTAAAAGTACAAAAGGAAGGGTTTCTTTTTACTTTGTTATGTATTAGTATGTATGTGTATGTATTATGTGGAATGTATACACACAAGTCACAGCCCATGTGTGGATAGTGTTATGTTTTTGTTTAACTTAGATATAAAGAAAAAGAGGAGACGCAAGATGAGACATATTAACCATCTTTTTATAAGCCTGACAGAGAAGGGAGACTAAGAGAGAAAAGAAACAGAGTTAATGGCTGGCCACCATGGCCGGTTGCCATAGAGAGAGAAGAGAAGCAGAAGCAGACAGAGAAGAGGAGAAGAGTGGAGAGAGAGTAAAGAAGAAGCAGAGAGAGAGCAAAGCAGGGAAGTTGGAACTTTTAACGGGAAGACTCCATATGGGCACTGAGGTTCCACACATGCCCAGAGTCCTCACGCAGGCTATAAATGAGTGGTGGGTGATGTGGTGATGACACGTCCCTGTTCGTGCCCTGACTGTTGTCAGGGGGCGGGGTCTGTCTCTTAAAGAGGTAGAGCCGATCAGCATTAAAGCCTGGACTTTTCAGATAGCCCATGTGTAGAGATCAGAGGACAATTTGTGGAGTCAGTGCTCTCCTGATTTTATGTAAGATCTAGTCATCAAGCCCAAGTCATTAGGCTTATATCTTCAGACAGCAGATGCCTTTATCCACTGAGCCAAACCACTGGTCCCAGAAGGAAAGATCTCTCTTTTTGTTTCAAATGTATTTGTTTTTATTTCATATTTCATGAGTACAGTTAAGTGTCTGTGTGTATGCGTCTGAACCACATGTGTGCTTGGTGACGGAAAGTCCAGAAGAGGGTTTCAGATACCTTGGAACCAGATGCTGGAAATCCAGCCCAGTTCCTAACCTCTGAGTTATCACTCCAGCCCCAGAAAGATTTCTAATGCTGTTTGATCGCTCTTCTTCAAAATGCTTTGGACCAGAAGCATTTTGCACTAAGGGTTTTGGGGAATGTGTACATTTTTACAATGAGATGTCTTGAGGATGGGACCCAAGTCTAAAAACATTCATCCATATTTCATGCACACCTCTGCCTGAAGGTAATTTTATGTGCTACGGTAAGTGTTCCAGCATTTTGACTGTCACTTATCATGTGAAATCAGGTATGGAACTTTCCATAGTAATCTTGTGCCTGCACTCAAAAGGTATCAGATTTTAGGGCATTTTGGATTTTGGATTTCTAGACTAGGGACGTTCAATCTGTAAGATGTTACTGTCTCAGCGATTCCAGTGAACACATGCATACTCTCTCTGTCTCTCTCATACACACACACACACACACACACACACACACACACACACACACTAAGCTTGGTAAATGACACCCTGCTGATAAACCTTGGAAAACCTTTTCTCCTTTTGTCTTGCAGAGGCCGCTTCTCTATTGTAAAGAAATGCATTCACAAAGCTACCCGAAAAGATGTTGCTGTGAAATTTGTGAGCAAAAAAATGAAGAAGAAAGAGCAGGCTGCCCATGAGGCTGCTCTGCTTCAGCACCTGCAGCACCCCCAGTATGTCACTCTCCATGACACCTACGAGTCCCCCACGTCCTACATCCTGATTTTGGAACTGTGAGTACAGGGGTCCTATTTCTAGTGTGGTCCTCATCTGCTTGGGTTATCCATTGCCTGCAATTAATGGACTAGAGTCACATTTTGCACCATGTTTTATGGTTTACAAAGTATATGAGCCATATATACTCTCTCGCCTCCTGTTTTTATCCCGACCTGCAGGACGTCAACCTAGGGCAAGAGAGTCAGGGATAGGGAATGGGGACAAGAGACGCAGAAAGAACGACCACAAGACAGGATTCTGATCAAGTGGCAAACTTTTCTCAGGCTAGCTTATATAGTCAGGATATGGGGAGGGGCAGAATGGGTTGTTTGTGCACCAGGTGTTAGTATAGGCAGGATATTAGTAAGCCACAAAGAGGATCTTTGGCAGGGTAAAGAGTTCATGAGTAAGAGATCCAGGAAGGGTTGCTCATGGGAATGACCCTGTGGGTGGAGGACTGGGTCAAGTTGTTTCTTTTCTTGAGCTGCGGTTCTAAGGAGCTGCTATGTAAAGGTTAACTATGTGGCCTGCCAAGCATGGCGTAGGATCTCATGCCAAGCCCTAAGATTTGGCTCCCAATATGTTTTATATAAATGTAGATCTTATTCTACAGACTAGAAAATGAAGGATAGAGAAGGTCTTAACACTAGTTTTACAAGAGTACAGATGGAAAAAAAATGGGCCTTGATCCTACATCTTCTCACTCCAGTCTTCCTTATTTTTCTAAGTTTTATTTCATTGTTTATATTTATCGGGTACAGTGTTTCATCACATATATACACTGTATGATCATCAAATAAGGATATTAACATAATCCATCACCTTAAACATCCATGATTTCTTTGTGACAACACATTTTAAAAAAAAACTCCTCTTTAGCTATTTGAAACACATTAATTGTACATATTGTTAACTATGGTCATCATACTATAGACTAGATCTCCAGAATTTGTTTTTCTTCCCCAGCTGTAATCTGTACTCTCCTCACTTTCATTTTCATTTCCTTCCTGTTGTGTACTCTCAGGCTTGGCTGACATTTAAGAAGAGTTTACAGGTGCAAGGCTGATTGGTAGGAGTGGAGTTGAAATGGGAGGAGTCTGTCCATCAATCAATAATCATGGCACCCCCAACCTACTACCCTATTCTTTCAGGGTGGAATTTTCCCTCCAAGACATTCCAGGAATAGCAGATTATCTAGATAATAAGTGTAGAAAGACACAGATCTTATCCTTTGAGGACATAAGTCCAGTAGTTAAAACCAAGAGATAAATAATGCTTTAAATATGGCATGGTAAATACTAGGAATCATATATTACATAGATCTTTGAGAACATAAAACAGTGCTTTGTTGGATGTGAACATAAGGGAAGATGTGTGAAAAGCAAGACCTATAGGCTCTCCCTATAGGTCTCCTGTACTGATTGATCAATAGAGATTTCTGATGGAACTCTCCTCCTCCAGGCAATGGAGATGATGATTTCCTGGTCTAGGAATGATGCAGACTAGGGAATAGCTCCAAGATGAGTGGGGTGGCTGATGCTGTGTGGGCTTGGAGCAGTTAACATGCCCCCTCTTATTTGCCCCAAGTATCTCTGGGAGTTGCATGTAGTGGACCCAGTGCCACTCTTCTCTGCTCTCTTCTCTTCTACCTCATACCTAGTAGGTCGGAGGGAGGTAGAGAGCCTTCCAGGACCTCCGTCCTTTTCTCCTGTCAAGGCAGTAGAAGAGTCTCATAGCAAGGAACAAACTAGAGGAGAAAACGAAGGCGATCATGCAGGTTTCAGCTGTGGTTGAAAGTCATTTGTGTCCTGGATCACACTCCTTGACATGGGCATTTTCTGAGATGTATCTCAGATGACTCACTGTATCTGAAAGAGTTTGATCACTACTTGTTACAAAAGGGCACAGGAAGCCTAAAAATAGACATTGCTTATTCAGCACTGTCTTAGTTACTTCTCTATTGCTGTCACAAGACGCCATGACCAAAGCAGCGTATAGAAGAATGAGTTTATAGGGGGCTTACAGTTTCAGAGGGTCAGAGTCCGTGACCATCATGATGGAGAACATGGCAGCAGGCAGGTAGGCATGGTGCTGGAGCAGAAGCTGAGCGCTCACATCTTGATTTACACGCACAAGGCAGAAAACTAACTAGGACATTGTATGGACTTTTGAAAACTGCAAAGCCCACAAACAGTGACACACCTCCTCCAACAAGGCCATACCTCCTAATCCTTCCCAGACAGTTACACCAACTGGGGACCAAGTACTCATATGAGCCTAAGGGGGTCATTCTCATTCAATCACCATAAACACTCCTTTTTTTTTTTTTTTTTTTGGTTTTCGAAACAGGGTTTCTCTGTGTAGCTTTGGAGCCTATCCTGGCACTCACTCTGGAGACCAGGCTGGCCTCCAACTCACAGAGATCCGCCTGCCTCTGCCTCCCGAGTGCTGGGATTAAAGGTGTGCACCACCAATGCCTGGCTAAGCACTTTCTTATGCTATCATTATGTCTTAGTTCCTCATTGCCTTGCCTGCCTCTTGCACAAGGCCGACCTTTTCCAGAAGCCCAAAAAAAAAAAAAAAAAAAAAAAAAAAAAAGTAGATCTTATTTTGTCTTTGATATCACTGTTGTCACTGTCCTGTTGCTATTCCCACTTTAAAACAAAGTGTGCTTCAGGGAAGCCAAAACACAAAAGAGTTTAAAGATTATCTGCAGCCACCATCTGGCAAGTGGCAGAACCAGAAACCAAATCTGCATATGGCTGGCTCCACTTATCACATTCCCAAACAGTGGTGGCTCATGCATTTAATCCCAACACTCAGGAGGCAGAGGCAGGAGGATCTCTATGAGTTCCAGACCAGCCTGTTCTACAAGATCTACAAGAGCTAGTTCCAGGACAGCCTCCAAAGCCACAGGGAAACCCTGTCTCAAAAGCAAAGAACTTTGCAAGCTGTCAAGAAAGGTGAATGAGTTAAGAAGAGATAAACATGACAAGGTAAAGCCTATCCTATTTCACATGTCTCCCATCTAAAAATGTTAAGAGTGAAATCACTTTTTAACACATGAGGCTGACTGTAAGCACCCAGCATCCCCCCCCCCCCCCCCCCCCCCCCCCACACACACACCAACCTAATCTTAAAGCCAGGCTAGGCCTTGAAGTCAACAAAACAGTGTTCCCTAAGCAAGGTTCTAAGGATTTCCCGTGGAGCTTAACATGTTTGTAACTTGATTTGTTCTAGTTCTGAATGTGGTAGTCTTCATTAGTAAGAGACATCTTAGAACTTTTTAAGCTTTATACATGGGTCATTTCTCTGCTTCTTCCCAAACACCCTTTCTCTCCGTTCTGTGCTTTCAGAATGGATGACGGCCGACTCTTGGACTACCTTATGAATCATGATGAGCTTATGGAAGAAAAAGTGGCTTTCTATATCCGAGACATCATGGAAGCTCTGCAGTACCTTCACAACTGCAGGGTGGCTCACTTAGACATAAAGGTAATGCAAAACCAGCATCTGTGCCAACAAATAGTAGTAGCCTAATTTACCAGCTATTGCCTTGAGGTTTGTACATTTGTATTTCTTTTTTTGGAAGGGGGGCATCAGAGGTTTCGAGACAGGGTTTCTCTGTGTAGCCCTGGCTGTCCTGAAACTCACTTTGTAGATCAGGCTGGCCTCAAACTCAGAGATCTGTTTGCTTCTGCCTCCCAAGTGCTGGATTAAAGGCATCTGCCACCACTGCCCAGAAAATTTTCATTTTCAACGAAAAGCTTCTCTTTTCTTAAGAGGCTATTTATTTTCTTGATTCATTATAAAAACAAAGGTTGGATAAGAAGGTGTTCTATTCTGGAATAGGTGGGTGACTTAGTGGCCAAATACCTGTTTAGTGTGCATAAAGCCCTGGGTTGGGTTCTTAACACCAGGGTGGGGAAGCATAAGCTGGGTCCAGTGGCCTAAACCTTTAAGCTCAGTAGTAAGGAGGCAGAGACAGTAGGATCTCCTTAAGTTCCAGGCCAGCCAGAAGTACACAGTTAGCTCCGTACCCCTCCTGAAAAGGCACAATTTTCAATACCAAACAACTTACCTAAAGGACCACCTAAACTCAGAGTTCAGTGAATTCAATGCCAGACTTTGAAACCTCCTTTGCCTTTGGACAGGGAATATCCCACATGCACAGGCTTTATCGAAGAATAACAGAACCATGTTTAGCTAACAGATTCCAGCTGGTAGTCAACAATGACCTGATCTTGCCTCTTTTCTTCCTGCCTTCCTGGATCCCTGTAGCCTGAAAACTTGCTCATTGACCTCCGGATCCCAGTGCCTCGAGTAAAGCTCATCGACTTGGAAGATGCTGTCCAGATCTCAGGCCATTTCCACATACACCATCTGCTGGGGAACCCTGAGTTTGCTGCCCCAGAAGTGATCCAAGGCATCCCCGTCTCCCTGGGCACAGACATCTGGAGCATCGGGGTCCTGACGTATGTCATGCTTAGTGGGGTCTCCCCCTTCTTAGATGAGAGCAAAGAGGAGACCTGTATTAACGTTTGCAGGGTGGATTTCAGCTTCCCCCATGAATACTTCTGTGGTGTGAGCAATGCTGCCAGAGATTTCATCAACGTAATCTTACAGGAAGACTTCCGGAGGCGGCCCACAGCGGCCACGTGCCTGCAGCATCCGTGGCTGCAGCCCCACAATGGCAGCTACTCCAAGATCCCCTTGGATACCTCCCGCCTGGCCTGCTTCATAGAACGCCGCAAGCACCAGAATGATGTGCGGCCCATTCCCAATGTCAAGAGTTACATCGTCAATAGGGTGAACCAAGGGACCTAGCCATCCCCCAACCCCTCCGAGGTTTCACATAGAAGTGTAGTGTGAACCAAAGCAAGACTGAAAGTGTCTGTAAATAACTCTGTTCATCATTTCACTCCATGCGGTTCTCTGGATTGAGAGGTGGTCCTCTTAAACCTTGTCTGTGGTTACGCAGGGTCTGAGCGGCATAAAGGTGACCCTAATCCCGGGAGCATTCCAGAAGGTCATGCTGAAGAGATAAAGATACAGAGTTGCAGGAAGTATTAAAAAGAAAGGGCAAAGCTGACAAGATAGTCGTTGGTATAAAAAGCTAATTGTACATTCCAAAATGAGTGGTGAAGTGGGCAAACCGTCTCCCCACTGTGAGGAGTATAGTAGGTTTCTGACTCCTTTGAAAATTTAAGCTAAACGTTCTATTTAACAGAGATGTCAACTATTCTGCTTTAGATGGCTTAGATATAGTTTCTTAACAGGATACATATACACATACGGTATAATAGATCCCATTCAGGTTTCAGAGTTTTATAATATAGAGTTCTATATGAAATCAATCATAAGTAACTTTGAGTGCTCCCGTTAAGACAGTAATTTATTTACCGAAGCATTGCATTATTTTGACTAAGCACAATTAGATGACGAGTTTTTTAGAGCATTTTATAAATCTTGTATAGAAATCTTTTATCAGAACCTGTGTATTAAGAGAAAGCAATGTGACCCTTTTGCGCTCTGTGAATGAGATATATTTTTCCCTCCATCATGGGTTGTTTGAGTAAGATAGATTCTGTTTATCAAAGGTTCCCGCTGAACTATTGACAGCTCAGAGTTCATCCTGTGGGAAAGCCAGGAAATAAGTCCAAATCTAGTAAGAGTTGGGGGTTATTTTATGTCCACACCAGGCCTGATGTAGGTAAATGAATACCAGGAGGGCATACAAAAGGGCATATAGAAACTTTTCCTACAGTCCCTGTGAACAGCATAGCAGCTCTTTCTGGTTTCATAGCTGTAGAATACAGTTTCCAGAGAGCTAGCTTGCTATATTCCTAACCCCTCATGAAGCTTCGGGGTGCTTACCAAAAGGAGGCAGCCATATAAGCCTTTTAAAGGCTATCCTAAGTCCTTCCTGAAGCCATGGAGCAAAGCCTGACCCATCCCACTAACACAGCATGGGTTTTTAACTGGGATAGCAATACCTTATCACCATGCAGCCACTGATGTCTCTGGACTAAAAGGACAAACTGTATTCCAAGGCCAACGCTGCTTTCTCCATACAAGATTATTAACTGCCCGGTGCCCCCTGGAGGGAAAACAAATTAACCAGGGCATTTCATTGGTTTTTATGGGGTTTTGATTTTTGCTTTTTCTGTTGGAGGGGGTGTTTGTACATGATCCACCCTTTGTTTTCTAGAGTGTGTTTTAAAAAATGCTTTTATGCAAATAATATTCTAAAACTATAACACAGGTGTTTATGTAAATTAGGCTTCATGTCATCATGTCTCTCCTGCTAGTAGGATTGAGAAAATTGAAATCATGTAGCACAAAGTGCAATCAGAAAATTTGGGGAGGGAAAATAAGCTGCAAAATTATTTTAACTATTTAAAGAAGAAATGATGGGAACAGTCTGAACTTTAATGTGTAAAACCACATATTTCCATGATGGAAATACGGAATTAAAATACTCATCATTTCCCCACCCACTCCCATTGGTTTCAAAGCAAAATACTCATCAGTCACCCTCTATCTCATCTCATCTCAACCAAGATTATAGAGTAATAAATTAGTGGAAAGTAAAAGCAATAAGATTAGATAGCACCTAGTATTTTGGGGATAAACCAAATATGTGGAAACCGACTCTGACTGTATAGTTTCCTTGTCTTGGGGTGGCCCTGAGTCATCGAGCCTCACTCCCTCAAAGCTTGCTAACCCTCCACATTCTTCACTTAAACCATGGTGTATACACACACATAAAACCATGTGATACGATATTTAAAAGATGCTTACTAAAGCTTTTGCTAGTAAACATGTCTTTATTATGAAATGTAACATGAAGGAGAATGGCGTGGGCCCAAAGGGCTTGTTATGAGGTAAAGTACAGCCGCTGAGGACTCCAAAGACCCAGAAAGTGACATGACCAGGTCTGTTCTGTCCGTGAGGGCTGCCTTGAAAGAAGGGTTTCTTGCAAAGTCACTTAGAAATGTTTTGACTGGCTGAGTTTCTGCTAGGGAGGAAAAGAGCCTAGGACAGTGACGTTCAGATGTCGCAGAAGGGCCATATTGAACGCATATTGTAAGATGACAGAATGCTAGGCAGAGCCAAAGTTCTCACAGCCATGTTTGTGTCAGGGTTGGGGTGATCTAGATGTGGGGCTGCATGGAATCGTGCCAAGTACACAGAGAAGGCAGGAAAAGATAGACAGAAGGGAAAGTAACATGGTTGTCTTAATGGCAGCCCCAATACAACTGTTAGAATAGTGCAAGCTTCAGAGAGGTCCTAAGAGAAAGGGGGATACATTTTTCCATAGTTTGATGACTGAAATGAACAGGGAGCCCCTATCGGCAAAAGCATCTGGTCCCTCCAACAGGGAGCAACATAGTCTTGGCTCAAGAAGTCTCCCTAGCAAGCTGGGAATTAGGAGCAATCCCATTCATTGGCGGGCCTAGGAAATATAGTTTGGAGTGCAGTTGTGCTCAACAGTGGCTGGAGAAGAAGAACCAGGGCCACTCTCCTGCACCTGTTTTGGCTGGGAGATTTATCATTAGGAGAGAAGAGGGGAGAAGAGAGAGAATCTCCCACCTCTGAAACCATCCCAGTTGTTCTCACTGCAGTGAACTGCCAGCTGACCCCAGAAAAACAGTGCTGGGCAAGGTTGCAGGTGTCTTCTTAGGCATGTATTCATCATTTTTGAGCTCTTTTGTTTTGTGTTTAAAGGGTGGGGTGCAGAGTGATGGAAAAGATCAGGGCCAACCCACGATCCTGGATGAGAAATCTAATAAATTTTTGCACCTTTTACATTTGTTTCAAACTAAACAGATTTCTCTCCACTTAAAACTGAATGTGGTAAAAACTGTTAAGAAAAACATCGTAACGCTGGATGTGTCCTTCAGGTCTCTCCCAACCACAAGCAACCTAAGTGGGGGTGGAGGAGGCAGAGGGGAAAGCTGGCTTCATAAAGCCTTTATAAATAGTAGTGCCTTTCAGAGGGGAGGGGAGGAGTGAAGAAGTTCAATTGCATTTAGATTTGCCGATACTGCAGTATTTTTTCCTTAGGTTTAAGATATCTTTTAAATGAAAACAACTGAATGTAGGACGGGACCAGGCATTTTGGGTATTGATCTCAGCTATTCCAAATTCATTCTTTCTTGTTTCTGCCCCCTGGCCCCATTGATAAAAATGGAATTTGGAGAGATGGAGAGAGAACATTAATCTCGTAAGAATGTTTAGGAACATGTCCTAGTTGACACATCTATAAAATATTTTTGATTTCCTTAAAGTGCTACACACTGCCAGTGCTAGAATTTTATTGACAATAACTTTGAACATTCCAGTTTCCCACGGTCACATCTTTGGATACCATTTGCAAACTTAAGAGGTTAAACGCTGTAAATTGCTTTTCATTGGAAGTTCTGGGTGTTCCTCGTTTAAATGTTATTTGGTCTTAGCTTATAATTTCCACCCTTATCTACAGAAAGTGTTAGGAGAGCTGATGAGGTTTATAAGCTGTTTTCTCTAGAATTTCTTATGGCAGACATGAGAGTCTGATGCCTTCCAAGACAGCTAGCCATTCCCTTCTCTTCCCAAGCTACATGCTCTGGGGGGAAACTGAACAAAGAAGAACCCAAACAGTTACTCTCCTCACTGGGAGAACAGATGTGAGAATCAAACACCCTCCCATATCACAATTCATTTGAGTCTCACAAGAGTCTTCTAGAGAAAAAAAAAAGTCTTCTAGAAAAGGCAAGTGGCATGCATGGGGGTTGGGGAGTGGGCAGAGATGAATTGGACAGAGAGCTTTGGCTCTGGTCTTTCAAGACTAGTTTTCTCTTCTCCCCAAACCTCCATGCCTGGGAGCTACTCACTCCTTTTTTTTTTTTTTTTCTTGCCTATCTGAAAGAACATGGAAATTTAGATCTGTGAGAACATGAGGGAGAAAATGTTATCTAAAGTAAATAGTGGTTATTTTTCTGTGTTAATTGAAACCCTCTCCTCTATACCTGATAGAGAGGAAATCCATCGAACACAAAGGGTCTCTGTAGTAGACAAAGTACCTACTCATCTTGTCCTAGGATAGCCCATGAATTGTCCTGGGTGAGTTTTGAGGAATGTAGACCATATTCCTTTCTTGCCTGGGTAACATTCCAATGGAGTCTGGGTTAGGCAAACATAATAAGCTTTCAACAGATTTATTTGTAAAAAGCACCTCATGATTTTTCTTTGTTATTTAAAGTCTAAATGCCTTTAGGGAAGGAATTTTTAGCCCCAGGATAGACGAAAGGCAAAGCTCACATAGATTCCACCAACAGAAAAGAAGGTACTATGATAACGGTTACTTTCTGAACACTGTAAGGCTCTCATTGTCTCATTCATTCTAAAGAGCTCAAAAGGGCTGAAATTTGTCCAGAGACTTAGACGTTTTGGTAGGAAATGTTTTTCATGAAAAATATATATGGAAATAGAAAACAGAAATAGTATATGGCCATATTTTTTATGAAAGACATTTCCCCTTATTTTTTTTAAATGTAAGTTGAAGTTATAGGAGAATACAGTCATTCTACTACAGTGCTTTAATCTGTAAGTGATATTAATTAAAAGCCTAAAATTAACACTCCCAGGGCTATTGTCTTTTCCTATCAGCCTGTTTGCTAAGAAATTCCAAACTGTGGTCAGATTTAGTTTTTATCCAAACGACCAACCTAACAGTTTAGTGAGGTAAACCTCTTTCAGTGAAAGGGGAAGAGCAAGAAAATGTGCAAATAGCAAATCTTTGAAATTCCTGAGCATAATTTAACCAAGTCAATTTGCCAATC